TGTCACTGGCACTGGTCCTGATGTATGGCCCATTACACTCACTGAATACAGACAGTAGTGTATGGATAAGACCTTGGGATACCAGGGGGAAAAAGCCTTACTGGTCATACACCATCAACATCACTATTGGTCAGTCCAAACCACACATCTCATCTGGTCACACCCACCAAGCAACATCTTTACTGTTCAGTCCAAACCACACATCTCATCTGGTCACACACACCAAGCAACATCTCTACTGGTCAGTCCAAACCACACATTTCATCTGGTCACACCCACCAAGCAACATCTTTACTGTTCAGTCCAAACCACACATCTCATCTGGTCACACCCACCAAGCAACATTTCTACTTGTCAGTTCAAACCAAACATTTCATCTGGCCACACCCACCAAGCAACATCTCTACTTGTCAGTCCAAACCACACGTCTCATCTGGTCACACCCACCAAGCAACATTTCTACGGGTCAGTCCAAACCACACATCTCATCTGATCACACACTCCAGGCATCATCTCTACTGGTCAGTCCAAACCACACATCTCATCTGATCACACCCACCAAGCAACGTCTTTACTGGTCAGTCCAAACCACACATCTCATCTGGTCACACCCACCAGGAAACATCTCTACTGGTCAGTCCAAACCACACATCTCATCTGGTCACACCCACCAGGCAACATCTCTACTGGTCAGTCCAAACCACACATCTCATCTGGTCACACACACCAAGCAATATCTCTACTGGTCAGTCCAAACCACACATCTCATCTGGTCACACCCACCAAGCAATATCTCTACTGGTCAGTCCAAACCACACATCTCATCTGGTCACACCCAACAGGCAACATCTCTACTGGTCAGTCCAAACCTAACATCTCATCTGGTCACACCCAACAGGCAACATCTCTACTGGTCAGTCCAAACCTAACATCTCATCTGGTCACACCCACCAAGCAATATCTCTACTGGTCAGTCCAAACCACATATGTCTGTTAATGAAACCTGTCCAGCCACATGTCTACTGCTCATGTCCAATCAAACATTACATCACTGTTGGTCACACCCATCAACCACATGGTCATACCTGTCAAACAAACATCAGTATCTACTGGTCACATATCAAGCAAGACACCTCTACTGGTCACATAGCAAACAACACACCTCATCAAGTCACATTAAACAACATATCTCTGCTGGTTACATATCTAGTACCTAGTGGTCACACGTCAAACAACACAACTCTATTGGTCACAATCTGTTCAAGGTCACACATTAAATAACATACATCTACTGATCACACATTAAATAACACATCACTACTGCTTACCTATATCAAACAAAAGTATAGACATATTTCCTTGATCATTATTATGTATGTGTAATCACATTGCCATGACCAACCAGATGTTTCTTTAACAGTTATTCTGGGATTGGATGTATGTGTATAAGCCCAGGCCTATTTGCATTGTGAATTTGAATATTTCTGATTACTTTTACAAGTGATATTAATGTGTAATCACTCCACTCTCAAGCTTATGGAATTATTTTGTCTGTTACACTCCTGTGTCATTGAATGTATATGTCCATTGCATAACTTGGTAATTGCAGTTGTGTGTCTTATCGAAGACTGCAGTTGGCACAGACCTCTGCCCAAATAACTTTTCCTACTGGTGGTATTTTATATGCAAAATATGCGATCGATGGTTCCATACCCTCTGTTCAACTATATAATGCCTTGACTTTGCATTTGTTTAAGCCTGATGCTGTTGTAGCTAAAAGAGCTTTCATTTCAATTGATTTCTTATACCTCTTCATTCAGTCATCATAAATTCTCATACACCATCAATTAAATTGATTCTCATAGGCCTGATAGTGTCTTGCTAAAATTGAAGCCAAGGTCAAAATACTGTTAGTCTGACTAGTATATGATGACTTCAAGCTGCGAACTTTAGTATGAAACATTAGATTTCATTTGTTGTTTTAAGTTGTGACAATTGGCATGAGACTCGTGTGCTAGTTTGTGTAAAATAGCACTAAACCGCTGCATACTATGGTTTGTCCTGCTCCAGTAACGGTGAGAGCTGACTACTCTAGCTGCATACACATCTTAACGAAAGACTCCTTCCTAAACTCGTAGTCCTAGGGGATTCATAACGCAGCCAGCATTCAGAACATATGTACTGCTTCAATAGTTGCATTTTAGAGTAGTAAGTTTTTATTTGAATTATAAATACAGCCCAAAGGAAAACACAGATCTTGATGTGAATGGGTTTTTCCATGGTTTACAGCAGGATGCTGTAGAAGCACATTTGCAATGAACAAACAATCTTCTGTCCTTTTAGGTTATATAAGCAGGAAACATTGCTATATTTCTGAATGGCTCACAGTGGGGTTATATACTTGGAGCAGAGGATATGGCTGGAACAGGCAACATTCTTATTGATTTTAGTCTCATTTAATGTCACAAACAAAGGAATTTCATTGGAGCATGCAAAAAGTGAATACTGTTGTAAATTATGGGTCTTAGGGACCTCAGGCTTTGAATATGTCTGCAATGGAGACTTGAGAATAAACTTTGCGTTTGGAATTCAAAGTCTTACTTCAAATTCTCTTGTGTAGAAGTCATTTTGCAAGATTAGAGACTACACTATACATGTATAAAGATACAAAAAATTCAAGGCCTATTTAATTGTATTACTTCATTAAAAAAAGTATAATTAATGAAAACTTCTAGTTTGAAAATTTTGATTACGATGAAAATTGGGTTATGCAACCTTAATTGAAACGAAAGACTTTAGGTTTTTGGCTGCACCTAGAATTGACAAAATATTGCTGTTTGGTATTCATCCATTGGTTTTAGATTTAATGTGATATTAACAGTGAAGCCTATTTTGTTCAAACACAATTGTCTTGATAATAAAATTACTCATACCCAATTTTTCTTCTGATTAGCTGGTATTGTATTTGCCCTTATCACGTCTGTTAGGGCTCTGTTCCATATTGAACATGAAAAAGTTGTTGGGCTACCCTGGCTGACAGTTTTCACTGGATACTCCAGTTCTCAGTTCTAGTGTACTAATACATTTCCATGAAAATCAACAAGAGGGACCATTTCAAGTCGATAAAATCTTTTTTGCAAGGTTGGCTTTTTTTTTAGATGAAGTTGACCTAATGATGTACTTATGAAAAGACTTAAATCATGTTATTTTTTGTTTTTTATATCTAAAAAAAACTTGGCAAGTAGTAGTTTTATACTAACATCTAAATGAAGACAATCCATTCTCCAGGAATGGTCTCCCATGTCATGTATAGTCTATTTAGAAAAAGAATCTGCTTAGTGAGATTAAGTACAAGAGAGCATGATCAATACAGCATATTCCTTCTGTATTGGTAGATGGATGGTCTATTATCTCAAAGACAATCTCTACCACTCCAGGTAGATTGTAGATCTATAATCCCAAAGACAATATCTATCACTCCAGGTAGATTGTAGATCTATAATCCCAAAGACAATGTCTACCACTCCAGGTAGATTGTAGATCTATAATCCCAAAGACAATCTTTACCACTCCAGGTAGATTGTAGATCTATAATCCCAAAGACAATGTCTACCACTCCAGGTAGATTGTAGATCTATAATCCCAAAGACAATGTCTACCACTCCAGGTAGATTGTAGATCTATAATCCCAAAGACAATGTCTACCACTCCAGGTAGATTGTAGATCTATAATCCCAAAGACAATGTCTACCACTCCAGGTAGATTGTAGATCTATAATCCCAAAGACAATGTCTACCACTCCAGGTAGATTGTAGATCTATAATCCCAAAGACAATGTCTACCACTCCAGGTAGATTGTAGATCTATAATCCCAAAGACAATGTCTATCACTCCAGGTAGATTGTAGATCTATAATCCCAAAGACAATCTGTACCACTCCAGGTAGATTGTAGATCTATTTTCCCAAAGTTTATATCTACCATGCCGGGTAGATTGTAGATCTATTTTCCCAAAGTTTATATCTACCAGGCCGGGTAGATTGTAGATCTATTTTCCCAAAGTTTATATCTACCATGCCGGGTAGATTGTAGATCTATTTTCCCAAAGTTTATATCTACCATGCCGGGTAGATTGTAGATCTATTTTCCCAAAGTTTATATCTACCATGCCGGGTAGATTGTAGATCTATTTTCCCAAAGTTTATATCTACCATGCCTGGTAGATTGTAGATCTATTTTCCCAAAGTTTATATCTACCATGCCGGGTAGATTGTAGATCTATTTTCCCAAAGTTTATATCTACCATGCCGGGTAGATTGTAGATCTATTTTCCTTAAGTTTATATCTACCATGCCGGGTAGATTGTAGATCTATTTTCCCAAAGTTTATATCTACCATGCCGGGTAGATTGTAGATCTATTTTCCCAAAGTTTATATCTACCATGCCGGGTAGATTGTAGATCTATTTTCCCAAAGTTTATATCTACCATGCCGGGTAGACTGTAGATCTATTTTCCCAAAGTTTATATCTACCATGCCGGGTAGATTGTAGATCTATTTTCCCAAAGTTTATATCTACCATGCCGGGTAGATTCTACCATGCCGGGTAGATTGTAGATCTATTTTCCCAAAGTTTATATCTACCATGCCGGGTAGATTGTAGATCTATTTTCCCAAAGTTTATATCTACCATGCCTGGTAGATTGTAGATCTATTTTCCCAAAGTTTATATCTACCATGCCGGGTAGATTGTAGATCTATTTTCCCAAAGTTTATATCTACCATGCCTGGTAGACTGTATTCCACTTGATATCTATCACTCCAATGATATACACTTTAACATACAATTTGTACAGCATTCATTGACAAGAGTGGTGATCTTTGGTTTAAAATATTTTTTTTTGAGTCTTGATGTATGGTTATAAAATAAAATATTGTAAAATCTTGACTTTTACTGTAATTGAATTGTTACTGAAGAACCATAAATTTGTATTTTTCAGAGCTCAGCGATTGGAACACCGGTCACCCTCAAGGTGGATCCGAAGGGATATATCCTGTACTGGAAGGACCTGAACAAGGTATTCTAGGGGAGCTTCTTATGCTCACCTACCAATGTCTGCTTTTATTGTAGACACGTAATTAATATACGTCTTCTGGCAGGTTCCCTTTGTCATTTATTAATTTTATCATAATATGAAGCAATCTTGATGAAAAAATTTTATACAGTAATTTTGTTTCTTCCGTTATTTTGATACATGTGTAATCATTCATTTTGACATTAAGGAACGCCAACGCATGTACCTGTATACAATCAACAGGTATACAGAAAAGTGCATTTTGTTTACTGAACACCTATACCTGTAAACAGTCAACAGGTATACAGAAAAGTGCATTTTATTTACTGAACACCTGTACCTGTAAACAATCAACAGGTATACAGAAAAGCACATTTTTTTTACTGATGAAGGTACAGCTGACGATTGTAAATATTCGGGATACATATATGTAGGAGGTGACAATGGACTGGTGTGAAAGAGACAGAATATACATTTAAACATGTTAGGACCATTCGTAGGAGGTGAGAAGTACACCGAAGAACTAATAATACTGGTGCATTTGTTCTTAATTATTGTAGGACAATTAATTGTGTTAGATTTATCATCACTACCCTAAAGCATACATACTTAGTCTACTGGTGACTTAGATAATAAACATCAAATAACACATGACAGATTACTTTTCACTGAAAAGAAAAAAAACAAAACAAAAATGAACAAAAAAATTGTTTAAGTAATTCGAATTATAGTTTTCATTGAAAAAGGATGAAATTTACATGCAAATTATTTGTTGTTAAAAAAGTCAGATATTAATTTTTTGAAGTTGTAATGAATGGAGCAATGACTTGGTCAGAAAAAATGTAAAGCTTAATTTATTGCCTTATTGAGCATTACATCTTATAACTTATTTATTATAACTTATTATATATAGAACTTATTAGAATATTACTGTGGATTATTAATTCCATCAAATGAGTTGATAGGTCTATGATAAATGAAAAATTAGAATTGGTGAGGAGTTATTGTTTATTCAACAAAGAAAACAATTAAGTATTTTTTTTTTGTCTAATATAACAGTCTTCCATCCTTTCAGCATTTGAGTGCTGATAATTATGAATCAACAATGACATTGTAACATCAGTTGGTTAGAGGTTTTATGGAGAATACATTGGTAAGATAGTATACTACGATATTGAGACAGAACCTGACAACTCAGACAAACTAGTGGAACACTGGCATTCACAGCAGTGAAGAAACAGTAAAATGAAGTTAACACACCTCAATACGGAACATGGCATCTCTTGAAATCAATTTAATTGACCATTCCCATGTCTGTTCAAGTGAGGGTTTTGCCTTCCAATTTCATTTTGAAGAAGTAAAACAATCCTTCTGTTATGTTTCAAAGTAATTTCTGGAGTAACAGGAAGAAATGATTACTTGAGAATTAATTCTGGGTATAACAAATGCATTTCAATGAGAGTGGAATGGAGATGAATAAGTTTTACAGAAATTTGTCACCTACAATGTTTATACACTGTCATTGTTTGGAGCTGCAGTGCAATTCCATAGTATTGATGTGTTGAATTGTCTGCAATTTAAACATCAAATGTTGATATCCTAGATTGGATTTTAACAGCCCTACAGCCATTCTAAGTCTTTACTGAAACTTCTTCATGGAATGAAAAAACAAAAAACAAAAAACAAACAAAATAAAACAAATGTTGTAGAACCAGTTGTCTAGATGAGATTTCATTTGATTGTTAATTGTACAATGACCAGATGATCAATAGTGTTATTTCAAATTCTTAGCTGTTTGTTCAGATTTGTCTTGTTGTAACATAAATAATTTCAAGTTTCCTGATCTTTCACCTAGGTGCCATTTAAGTGTGAGATATGATACACTACACTGAAAAAAAACCAAAAGACTTGTTTGGCACTGGCAATATATTACACAATCAGTTACACACATGATGATATCCTGAATTTTTGGAATTTTGATGGGTAATGTTGCAAACATTCTGAATATCACCTTTTGAAAAACTACTTCCTTGATCCTTATTTAAAACTGCTCAATCTTGTTGATCAATTAGATATTTCAAGTATTGTAATGGTATATATCAATGTCAAAGGTTAATTGATGATTTGTGGCGAGGTCATGGGTCATCCTTCAGGATAGGAAAGGTTAGTCAATAGATTTAAATATACTGCTGCGATTAATACATGAAAAACATCAACAGGTTCAACTGACAGGAATAATTTTCTAAAGGAGGGGGAAAGAGGGGGGAGAAAAAGGAGGGGGAAGAGGGGAGAGAAAAGGAGGGGAAAGAGGGGAGAGAAAAAGGAGGGGGAAAGAGGGGAGAGAAAAAGGAGGGGGAAAGAGGGGGGACAAAAAGGAGAGGGAAAGAGGGGGGACAAAAAGGAGGGGGAAATGGGGAGAGAAAAAGGAGGGGGAAAGAGGGGGGGGAGAAAAAGGAGGGGGAAGAGGGGAGAGAAAAAGGAGGGGGAAAGAGGGGAGAGAAAAAGGAGGGGGAAAGAGGGGGGAGAAAAAGGAGGGGGAAAGAGGGGGGAGAAAAAGGAGGGGGAAGAGGGGAGAGAAAAAGGAGGGGGAAAGAGGGGAGAGAAAAAGGAGGGGGAAAGAGGGGGGAGAAAAAGGAGGGGGAAAGAGGGGGAGAAAAAGGAGGGGGAAAGAGGGGAGAAAAAGGAGGGGGAAAAAGGAGGGGGAAAGAGGGGGAGAAAAAGGAGGGGGAAGAGGGGGGACAAAAAGGAGGGGGAAAGAGGGGGAGAAAAAGGAGGGGGAAGAGGGGAGAGAAAAGTTATCAGAGATAAATATTTTAATACGAGGAAGATTAATTTGGATATTTCATCATCCTGCGTACCATTCGGTATCCTCACCCAACACGTAGTGCCCCTCTGTTCAACCAACTTATTAGGAACTGACATTGACTCTACCTTTCCTTTGTTAATCTTAGATAAATGTTTTGAGTTATCACATCAATACAGAATCTCTCCATGTTGACATCACAAAAGGAATTACAACTGAACAACATCTTGGATAACATTGTGTCGCTAATGTTTTTTCGTTTATAAGAAGAGCTCTTCTGTGTCGCTAATGTTTTTTCGTTTATAAGAAGAGCTCTTTTGTGTCACTGATGTTTTTTCGTGTATAAGAAGAGCTCTTCTGTTTGAATTAGAAATCATTTTTAGATACCTAGTAATTATAAATTTTCTGAAGTGGTCTTATCATAATTACTATGCATTGATATGATTAATATTCACTGTTTCATTGTTTTTTTAACGTATGAAGAAATTTTTTAACATCTGATTTAGAGAAATGAAAAAAGGTTTTTGCTGTAATTACAGGCACTCATTTCCTTCAATTTATGTCCAGTCATCTTTATGCCTGTACAATATGTAGTGTCCTTTGAATTCTAGCACTGATTTCAGATTGACCAATCATTTCAGATGATTTTGTTTTTTGCCATGACTGATTTGAGACCATTTTATTGAATTCTGAAAGACTTTTTATGACCATTAAGTATATATATTGTTATTCTGCTGCTTCTGGTTCTACTGCTTGCTGTTTTGAACTACTCCTGATTGGCAGCCAAATTATCTTCAATAAACTGATTGTATTGGTGGAGCTGCTACAAAGAGCACTGACTGATATCAGAACCACTTTCAGAAACATTCTATTCTTGTGTTACAATTTTGTCGACATTTTTATAATGTTTTATTTTTAATCTATGACCATTTTCTTTATATATTGCTAAACCAAAAAGAAACACACACATTTCTGGTTCACTGGTTTAATTCTTTTGTTCTTATCTACAGATCAGGTTTGAAATTTACAACCATATTAAAATCTATAGTAGTATACAGGTGCTTCTTAAGTCAAAATAGGAAAATTAGCTACTGATATTAGTTTTGGTTATGTGTAAAGAAAACCAATTAATTTCACTGGCCATTTTGTAATGACAAGTGGGCCATAGTTCCTCTGTCTTCTTAGTTAATTTTGTACTGTTTGGGACTGGATGCAAGATTAGGATCAACAAAAGATACTGAAGTATGTTCAGTTATCCCAAAATGATTACAAGAATGTGCTTTGGGTAGCATTCAGTCTATATCTTTTGTAGTCACACATTGATGGCTGTTGGGCAGATGACTGGCGGTGATGGCAGTAGTCTGGAGTCACATAACCAGGCGGTTAATGTCCAAAATGTCTGGAAGCATGCATTTGCTGTCCATGGCCTTGCAAAACCTTGATGGTTTTTGTTTGATGTTCCATAGACATGAAGTTTAGGTGTTTTTAACATTGTTGTCAAAAAGTAGATCAATGCTGAATGTCTTCATTGTTTCGAATCACAACTGAGAAATGTTTGAAGCACTCTAGTTCAACTGTTTTATTTTTTCTAGCAAATTTGCCAGCCAAGTTGCTTGTAAGATAGTCCCCTCAATCTATTTATGATACTGCCTGTTCAGATTCAATATATGTACAATAATAGTGATACTTAAATTTTACAGGTGTGTGTTTCTTTTTGGCTGGGTATTTTCACTTTTAATGATATCAAGTACCTTTCTATGACCTCTTTCCTTAACTCTTGTATTCTTTACAGTGTGATCTGGATTTACCAATAAAGAGTTTAATGTCATATGATATCATTATCAGTAATGCTGAACTCTATAAATGCTGAATCTAAAAGTCTCTTTTTGACCATCAGATCTGACTCCATGTCTCCTTACTGTCTCTAAACATCTATCATAACTTCAGTATCATGTTACGTTATGGTATCTGAGATTGTTAATCTTAGTATAGACACACTGTCATATTTGACTAAATAGCCAATACCCTTGATGCGAGTTAATTGACAGACTGTCCTATTGAATACTATTTTCTTGTTCCCTTGATCTTGGTAAGGTCAGATTTCACTGTAGTTCTGCTCACTAAGTCTGATTTTGTACGACTAATTTTCAGACAAGTTTGGAGGGGTCTGTAAGTATCAGCTGAATGGCGCTGCATGGAA